TACGTTCTTTTATATAATATTAACATATGTATATGTATGTACACACATACATATATACGTTTATATTTAGCTCTTAACCGAATGAACTGTCTCAGTCGAGCTATGTTATGTTCCCAACTTCGGTACTGACGTTCCCAGCCAAGTGGCGATAAACTAGAATACCCTTCCATTTTTGATTGTTCTTTGTCCGGGTATTGAACCCTCTTGTGCGCATTGCTACTCACTGCGTTACAACGGAATATGTACATATATATATGTATGCACTATGCACGAATGTATGCATTGGCATTTGAGCTGAATATAGTGCAATCTACCCTTTGCCTATGTGGTTACATACAGTCGTGGGTCTAGTTAAAATCGTGTCCTCGCTCCACGGGTGCGTGCCTGTATTTGGAATAATCACTACATTACTAGTAAAGCATTAATATATATAGCAAAGTATGTACATACATACATATGTAAATGTATGTATACATAAACCTTCAATTATATTTAGGCAAACATTCATGAACAAATACATATGTGTGTAAATACATACAAAATATGCATAAATGAACTCCACTGAGTAAATACCTATGTATATTCGCATGTATGTTAACAATTTATGCGAGTATTGTTTGTTAGAGCAAATTTTTCTTGTGAACTAAAATAACCTCTCTCTTTTTAATGTTCTGAGTAATGCGCCAATATGTTCGCGTATCATGTATACGTATGATATTTGTACAGTATGTTATTACCGTTGCATCTGAGGTCGTACACAAACTCATACACATATGCAAATTTGTTCGTCCATATGACTATTAAAACTCGTACATACATATAAACATATATGTGTTTACATATATTCTTTGTTATATATGTATGTACCCACATACATCTATGTACATATATATACTCAACTAATGTCTGATCCGTGTACATACATATACATATATCTACTCGATTACTAACGACGTATTCAATAGCTCCTGCCTGGTCTTAGAGTGCAGCGACATTTAACTGGGTCATGCACGGTCATTCACTTTTGTTGATTGCAATCAAATGCACAGGCAGTCAAACATATGTAGTTGCTGGTCATGGAGTCTGTTCCACTTTTACAAAGCAATTGTTGTAGTATTCGTTCATTGGTACGATTGCTCGTATGTACATGCATACATACATATACATATATTAGTTTTAGTTCAGATAGTTTATGGTATGTCTTACCGAGGTATACGTTTACAGAAACACATACGAACATATCTTGAATTATTTTTCCTTGAATTTTCATTCTCATGATTGTGTATAGGTATGTATGCATGTAGCTAGGTATATAGTTGTATACAAATTATCGTGTTCACTTAACATTAATGTTGGGCACAGGAACGAATTGGCATACATAACTGTCTGTATATAAAATACCTTGTAAGAACATTTTTATATATGGAGTGTTAAAATATTATAGCCATAGATTTAAAAATATAAACATATTAAAGGCATTAGCTATAAATGACAAACATGTGTTTACCTTTAAGTTAAAGAGCTATACTATTACCTAATTTCGTTACATGCATATCCTTAATTATTGTATGTACATATGTATACATAAGTATAAGAAGTGCCCGGTTTTAATTATTCTCTAACAATACATATTGTTAAGTTCCACGCTTACAATATACATATATATATATATGTATATACGTACATACATATTATATGTAGTATGTATGTAGGTCGATGTTGAGCATTATCGTTTACAGTTGGTCTTGTTATGTGTTCACAAACCAATCAGTAAAAATACTATGATAGTATTAATTTGCGATTTCATAAAACTTGAATCGTTACACTTTTCTGTAATCGCTCGCGAAAAAAATCCTAATAAACTTTTTTCAAAACCTTCGGTGATGTCAAAAACTACGTGGCTACTGCGAAGAAATTTTAGTGTTACATATGTGTATATGTGTCGGTATATTGGTTAATGTACATGTACATACATATATATGAATGTATGTATGCAAAATACATTTTATATAAATATGTACAAACGTAACGTACATATGTAAGTAGATAAGGTGAGAAAACTGTATAAAATTAACCGCTTTCACTTTTACTTTCTTTCCACTGAATTATATCAAATAGCACACATGTATATGTATATCTACACATACCAAAAAGCTAAACAGTAGTCAAAGGCAGTCTCAAAAAACAAAGCTTTGAGTTCCACAAATATGAATATGTGTATAGTTTTCATATTTACATGCATGTGCAGTATGTACCTATAAGAGTGTTTTGTATTACCTTGTACAGTACCTACCCAGTAATCACAACTCTCTAAAATAAAGTATTTTAACCTTAACAAAAATTATCTCAGTAACTGCAACTTTCTTTGTTATCCATTATTTTTTTTATCGCCTGTTAAAAAAATTGTTCTTTGAAAATTTTTGTTTTCAATATTTTGTTTTACTAAATTAACAATATTACAAAAGTAACAAGTTTTTAAACGGAATTTAATTTTGGAAAAAATTGTTCTGGGTGCTTCTAATGGTGAAAAACAAGGTGAAAAGCTCTAAAGCAAAGAGGCTGTGCTTTCATTTCAGACAGTTTATTTATTATATTCTCTTGATTGTGTTGAACTATTTAAGCATATGACTTTAAAACAACATTGGAATGTTGCCTGCATATAAAAATTAAGAGATTATGAGCTGGGGAAAACGAAAAGAAGAGAGATATATACTCTCTTCATAAATGAGCTTTTAAGCACAATGTTATCAACAAATATTTTTAATTAAATGCACACAAGCGGCATCAACGAAGCTTTCTAAGTTCACTTTTCATGTCTCAAAGATTTAGTTTCGCTAAGTATAGTGAGACATTTGTATGTGGCTATGATGTGGTGGTGTGGATATTATTTCTCTCAATTTGATGTTATTCGCTTTATATTATATTAAATGTACATACATTTATACATATGAATGAGAGTACTACGTACGATGTTGCTTTGAGTGTTGCCCTTGCTTCTACTTCTGCTTTTGTATATCATGTATCTCTTCCTTTGTTTTAGACCATACTGTCTTTTGGGTATATTCATAACATGCTTCTGATTTTTACAGTTAGTCGTGTTCGAGACCTTGTCGAGTTTTGTCACTTATATACGGTTGTTTACAAAATGTACGAATACCGAAACCGAAACGGAGTGCAAAAACACAAATAATAGATAATTAAATTTGAAGAATTATGCTTAAATATTTAAAGTTTTATACGAAAATAAGCAAAAAATAACTTATCCATACATAATAAATATTATTATTGAATATTGTGCTTCTGTTATGATGTGATGTGAAATATTTTCTTTCAAATTAAGGATGTTATGACTGCGGTTATAAACTTGGGTTCAAATACATTTTCAAACTAAATATAAATTAAATGAAATCTAGTTCCTTTTGTTCTTTAACAAAAAAAAAAAAAAGGTAGAAATATATTAAGCAAAGTGTACCTGTTTTAGAATCGACGTTTGAGGCGATATCCCTATTGATATTCATACATACATACATTACACGTACAAGTAAACGAATTCCATAGGAATATAACTTATGGAAAATTCTATACCTTCAATTATTCAAAACAAAAATAAAAAATGACGGAAGAATTGCCAATTCTTAAAAGCATACTTAAGGGCAATTTCAACTATCATAATGCACGTAAGTGTAACATAATATACACATACATACACATACATATGTATGTAATTTGTACTACACATTCTATAAGCATTGTCATATATTTCATGTTCCTGTACAGATGAAAATGATCGACAACTTTCTATTATTTCTTGTGAATCTTATTTACCTCTTAAGCCGTGCGTTTACATTGAAAAGTGTCGGTATAAACTCTTTTGTTTCTTTTATTCAAAAAAAAAAAAATAAATAAATAAGTAAAAGAGAAAAGATTTCGTTTTCATTTGACCCCAATTTCGCCGGCCCGCATAAATGTATGCCAGTGAGATTTCTTCTTTGGTATAGTCAATGCTGTTGTGCACTTCGTTTTTATCTGGGGCGTGCAACGAACTAAAGCGCAAACGCAAAATGTTTAACTTGTTGACTTCTTTATAACTATTTACCTCTCACTTTAATTTTGCTCACTCATAAAGAGGCTTGCTACTTTTCCCTGTTTCACTTTTGCATTCCGTTCATAGGTTTATACATAGTAATATACACTTATTTGATAGGAAATGTCATCCACACTGAGTCGCAAGCGCTGTTGCGCTGCTAGTAAACTGCTGCAAAAATGATTTGTTTAAAGTATTCAGATTTATAGATGTATGCTTGGGGACTACCAATTTTATATTCATAAAAATTATAAAAATCTTGTAAAGGCTTATGCTTTTTTTTACCGTTTAGACATTTAGTTTACATATATATGTGAACGAAATACACACTTTTTTCGTTAGTAGGCCACGACTTCTTGTCTCTCCTTACTTTGTTATTATGCAGTTTTCAAGTTTGCTCTTGTTTGTTAACTTGCTTTCGTTACTTTCTGTTAAAGAAATGAAAGTGTCTTTGGTAAAAGTTTCTACACCAACGGAGGTGAAATCTAGTGTTTGTCCGAATGTGGCCGCAATTAAGAATTGATTTCACAGTGTTTGAGTTATTTATACCAATTAACAGGTTTTTTTTATAAGCTTTGAAGAAAGTGAATTTTACTACTACTAAGTTCCACAACAGTAAAAGGACGCCCAACATTTGCCTTCACTTGATGCGGCTGCTAGGCATGCGACCAGCGCACTTAGGCCTATAGGCCCACTGTTATGATATAACCATTTCCTTTTGTGTATTCAAATAAAACAATGATGTTATTTTTACACATCAAAACTCAATTAACTTTTGGAAAAAAAGTTAGTTTCTTTTTTTTTTGCTTTATGCAATCATATATACCATTATTACAAATTATAATAAAAAATATTTAAATATTAAAAAAATTTTAAGATGAAATGCAGCGTAGTCAACCAATTTTAATTTTTTCAGCTGTACGATTCGGGCGAGTACCCAAGCGAGAGAAAGCGAGAATATTAGCCGCTATGCAGCAAAGCACGCAGAATCGTGGTCAACAACGTGTACTTGCTGGCGAACTGGATGATCAACCAAGACTCATAGCAGCTGTGCTTCGTGCTCATTTGGAAACTTGCGAGTTTACAAAGGAAAAAGTTGCCACGATGCGACAAAGAGCTAGAGATTGCCCGTCATATTCAATGCCCACGTTACTGGTAAGATTAAAAAAAAGCTTTTGCAGTTACAGTGTCTAGATATATCAGAACAAAATATATTGAAAACAATTTTTGCGACTAAAAATTTATGTTATCAGTTAGTTAGTTATTATCAAAAATATCAAAATTATAATAATAAAAATAACTATGGTGTATAAACATAAGTAGAAAACATGAAAAAATTGAGAAAAATAAAATTTTGAATCCACAATTCCGTCAACTAATCAAAATATGTATGTATGTACAAAATATAAACAAATACAACAACGTCAGCAAGAATACTAAAGCTAAAACGACAAAACAACGAGCCGCTATAATAGCTACACAATACATACTGAGGGCATTTATCTACAAAGTAGAATAAGAGCGCAGCAATAACCTTGTGCCGACGTTGTTTAACCTTGAATTTGGTTGTCGATGAGAATAGAATATACAACAAAATGGCGAAGAGAACTAAAACGAAACCTTAAAAAATGTTCCAAAACGATTGTGCAAAAAAAAGTACTGAATCATTGATATTCTCTTTGTGCATACTTATATATACATATGTATGTATATGAATGTGAAATTTTATGCTTACGATTAGGTTAATTTAAGAGTTTTTAGCTTAACACATGCTTTGAAACATCGTTAGTGTTATTCAATATAAGTTTAGAATCGCAGATACAACTATCAGTTTTCAATTAAATGAAACTGTAATAACTCATTACATTTTTGTTATTGCCATTTCAACACAGCACATGCGCACTTCCCTCAGACAACAGACGTCATAATGACATCAACACTAACACATATGATTGTGTGTGAATAAGCACACGCGCTCCAATACTCAAACGAATTACCATAATAAATATCTAAATAGAATAACAGTATGGCGCACTTGACCTTGTAAATACGAGGAAATTTTTTCGATGCACAGTACGAGCGTATTTGCAAATATTTCCCTCTCGGTGCCTTGGCCATGACTTTCGTATTGTGGTTCGTCTATTTTTCAAGTGATAGACGAATAATAATTAATCTAAGTATGCGCATACATACTACTACATAATAAAGTTTTGTAATATCGCAAAAATAATTGTAAGCATATACATACATATATGTACATACTAGTACATAATAAAGTTTTTTAACTCTTTATCTACAAAATTTATCAAAAACAAAAGAAAAAAAAATAATTCATTGCAATCAATGTGCAAATACAAATGATTAAGTTTAAATTTTTTATAAAATGTAGATGTATTAGAGCTCTCACAACTAAAACGGTAAAAAGATGAAAGTATGCTCGATTTCAGCTTCTTCAAAAAAAAAAAAATCAAATTCTCGTCTATTTGTATCCTCATTTTTTAAGCGCGGTTAAAAATATCGGCATAAAACCATATACACATGCCACCCCTACAGCGTGAAGACAAAACCTTGAACTCTAGTTCGTCGACCTTGAATAGAATATCAGAACGAAGCGCCACGCGTACGTAAAACTAATTTGTAATCACAAGCACAAGAGAGCTTTTCGCTTCCATTCTAGCTTGTGAAAAGTTGGATAATTTCTCTTTTTAAAGCTGAGCGCGATTCTCCTATTTTGAAGATTAAATTTACTGAGAAGACTTGTTCCCAGGCCCGCAGTGTAAGCATTTACAAGCTCTTGCTAGTTCGATTTCTCTTTTTTAGTTGGCACTAATATAAAGCGAAAGCTCTTATCATAAACTGCACTCACATTGGAATACAAAACTCAAAGTAAATCGTACTATATAACAAAGTATATTACTTTTCCTGCATACATATGAATAACCGGCGCATGTGCTAAAAAAAGTGGTGTTTTTATACTTATCGATTAAAACGCCTTGTCAAAGGTGAATAACAAATCCGTAGAAAATATGACCTTCAAATTAGACCTTAACATTGCTGCTAAAAAAAGTTACTTCTACTTTTATTCATTTATGTGTATGAATGTCGGCCTGTTTCACAAGCCGCGAGATGTTACATCAGTACAGCCCTCAAAATAATACTTTTTATATGATTTTTCTTTTAATGATTAGAATTAACATTTTTCTTATTTGGATTATTTTTAGGCATGTCCTCTTAATCCTGCCCCTGAACTACAGTCAGAACAAGAATTTTCTCAACGCTTTGCACATGTAATTCGTGGTGTTATTGACTTCGCCGGCATGATACCTGGTTTTCAACTTCTTACCCAAGATGACAAGTTTACTTTGTTAAAAGCAGGACTTTTTGACGCGCTTTTCGTACGCTTGATTTGCATGTTTGATTCCTCCATTAATAGTATTATATGTTTGAATGGGCAAGTGATGCGACGTGATGCAATACAAAATGGAGCTAATGCGCGGTTCTTAGTGGACTCTACATTTAATTTTGCTGAGCGAATGAATTCCATGAATTTATCGGACGCAGAGATTGGATTGTTCTGTGCAATTGTTTTGATCACTCCGGATCGACCAGGTTTAAGAAACATCGAATTAATTGAAAAGATGTATAGCCGACTAAAAGGATGCTTGCAGAAAGTTATCAGTCAGAACCGTGCTGATCAACCCGATTTTATGTCCAAATTATTAGACACAATGCCCGATTTAAGAACTCTAAGTACTCTTCATACGGAAAAATTGGTTGTTTTTCGTACGGAACATAAAGAGCTTTTACGACAGCAAATGTGGACAATGGAGGACGAACAACCAATAAATGTAAAGAGTCCCGGAATCAATTGGGATGACGCTAGAATGGATGTTGAGGCGAAGAGTCCGCTAGGATCTGTATCAAGTACAGAATCGGTAGATCTGGAATATACAGCCCCATCTACCACTTCAATATCTCATTCTCATATTAATCCTCAACCATCACCAACCTCTTTGGCTTCATCAGCACCCTTGCTAGCTGCAACCTTATCAGGCCCATGCCCTCTCCGTAACAGAGCTAATTCTGGTTCTTCTGGAGATTCTACTACAGAAATGGATATTGTCGGCTCACATGCTCATCTAACTCAAAATGGTTTAACCATTACTCCAATTGTTCGGTCGCATTCTCACCAACAGTTGCATCATCACTTAAGCTCTAGCGCACAAAATAGATATCGCAAATTGGATTCACCAACCGATTCAGGTATAGAGTCTGGCAATGAAAAGAATGATTGTGGAACTAAAACCGTTAGCTCTGGCGGCAGTTCTTCATGCTCTAGCCCACGCTCAAGTTTGGATGATGTCCTCGATTGTACGGATACGCCTACATCAAGCAACAGTCAAATTACTATATCCGTATCTCCTGTTCGCTCGCCTCAGCTTACTGCTGCCACATCCACTTCAACGTCAACAGGAACAGCTAATATTCCAAATGCTCTCAAGCGTCAAATTGTCGAAGATATGCCCGTATTGAAAAGAGTATTACAGGCGCCCCCGCTCTATGATACCAATTCGCTAATGGATGAAGCTTACAAGCCGCATAAAAAATTTCGAGCACTGCGACATCGTGAATTCGAGAGCACAGAAGCAGATCCCAGTTCCACTTCTAATAGTAATAATACCGATAAAATAACGACACAAAATACCGAAGCGAATAATCCAATACCAAGTTCGCAAACAGCATCTGTAACAAGTAGTCCACCTCCATTTGTTCAGTCTACAAGTACACCTTTAGTGCCCGTTGCTACTTCACCACATAAGGTGGCAACAGCACCATCATCATCACCACATTCCCACGCTCTGACAGGAAATTCTGCAAATTCTCATCATCAAAGCCAGTTACATATGCACTTGACTCGTCACATTTGCAATAATGTCACCGGTAACCAAAATAACTTGGGTACTATGCAACAGCAGCAACAATCTACGCTATCAAGCACTCATTCAGTGCTTGCCAAATCTTTAATGGCTGAGCCACGAATGACTCCTGAACAAATGAAAAGATCGGATATTATACAGAATTATATTATGCGGGATCAAGCACCGTCATCTGTTCCTTTAATGCCTGGTACTCCAACAAACACCGGCAGTCGAAGTCCAGCACCGATGCAACATTTGTCGTCATTAAATCAGAGTTCCCCACAATATACATCCGGAGCTTCACATTCCACGTTATCAGGTAATTCCGTTGTTTGTTCATCGAGTAATTGTGCAGCACCTTCTACTACAACAATGACATTAGCATCCCCAACAAGTGCAGTTGGTCAAAATGCTATACGCTGGAATAGTCATTCTGTCATAACAACAACGAGTGCCAACCACCGCCAGCAGTCTGTTTCACCGAACAGCAATGGATCATCATCTTCATCATTAAATGGCTGTCAATATTTTCAATCTCCCCACTCGACTTCTGCATCAGTATCTCCACCTTGCTCGACATCAGCGGGTCATTCACCTCCGCAACTTTTGGAACTACAGGTCGATATTGCCGATTCACAGCAACCATTAAATTTATCAAAAAAATCGCCTTCACCTCCACCAACTAAGTTGCAAGCATTGGTAGCAGCAGCAACAGCAGCACAAAGATATCCTGGTGTATCTGGCGATGTAACTGTTACTCCGTCTAAAACACAAACATCACAAACTGTGACCCCTGTGCCAGCAAATAGTACGCAGCAACTGCAGGTTCATAAAGTTATGCTTGAAGCATAAATTAAAGATTGTTAAGAATATATGGGTATCAAAGATACCTTGAGATTATTAAAAAATACAGAAAATGTGCGTAGCATAAGTATTGAAAGAAATAATTTGGAGTCAAAATAAAAATCAATTACGTTTGAGTATAAGTATGATCAGATACAAATATGTTTAGGTAACAAAACCAAGAGCGAGACTGAATATTTATGCAAAATATATATGTAAAAAATATAAAATATTTTTAAATAAAGCATCTGAGCAATGCTGGCACGGTGGCAATGTTTGACAAAGTTTGTGAAACAATCTAAAAATGAGAAAGCTATAAGTAAACATACGTTTAAGTTTATTTTCCTTATAACTCTTTAAAGTTGATAAGTAACTGTTGTATATATGAGTATCGCATATGGAAGTATCGCGAGAGGAAGTTTTTAAGACACCGTGAAAACATAAAACATCAGTGAATAAATTAAGGTAATAATAAATTATCTCTTAAGAACAACGTAATTATAAAGGTACATATATATTTTAGTTCGGGTTGTCAGTGGCGTTTAGCTCATCAAATTATGATTTTTCATATACACATAGAGATTAATTTAAATGAATGCATACGAATGCCTAGTTTATATTTTGTTCCTTGCAATATAATATTTAAATTTTTGTTTTCAAATTATAAATTGAGTAAACGTTATTGGCAAACCCTTAAGGATTTACAACTGTATCTTTAAAGCACACAAATTAAATTGTACAAAATGCATCCAATATAAAGCAAATAAGGTAGTTTATATAATAAACTATGTATAATTCCTTTTAATTCTTGTGTATACAATAGGGGTGAATAGTATTACATGTAATGAAATGACAAGTTTTTAGAATAACTGGCACAACACGCATTACGATGCCCAACCACGTTAAACTGAGCATAAATGCAAGCAACCAGATGCATTTTGTGAATAACGAGTGAAAGGTATGGTATGTATGTACTACTAGATATACATATATGTTTTTGCTCCTTTTTCGAAGGTTTTCATATTAAAGCAAGTGAGTGAATGTGAGGAGCCTACTGAATAAATATTATTTATTGTGAAACATCTGGGAAGAAATGTTATCCAGTTTAAATATGGCATGTTCTAGTATTGAAAACTCTGCGAGTTTTTTTATGAATAAAAAATTGATTAATGTTTAATTCTTTTATCGTATAAAAGAGGTAAAGTTTTGCTTTTATAGGCTGTTTTACTTCGGGATCTTTTTATTTTAATTGTTTTATTGTTCGTTGTTTTTTTTTTTTTTTTTAGAAAATACTGTTTATCTGTTCATGGGATAAATTTATTAACGCGTTATTTTTTCCATTATTATAATAATTATTGTTTTCTAATTTTAGATTATGTAAAAATATTTAAAAAGTCCTTGGTTGTAAATACATATATGTATATAATTTTATTTTATAATCATATTAATATTTATACTTATATAATAGAATATGTACATAATGTTCCATAATTTAACTTTTTGCTTTGTGCGTATGTGTCTCTAATTATTGAATGTTTCGTTCGATGTTTTTGTTTGATTTAAAATATAGCCTAAACTAAAGTTTCATTTTTTTATTAGATGGAAGGTGAAATGACTATTATATTTTAAAGTTATAATTATCATTATCTCTATTATCATTATTATTATTATTATTATTATTATTATTATTATTATTATTATTATTATTATTATTATTATTATTATTATTATTATTATTACTATAATTATTAAATAATAATAATTATTATTAGTAATAGTAGCAGTAGTAGTAGTTGTTTTAGTAATAGTGGTACTATATTTGTAGTAGGTATTAAAAATAATTATTTTTTTCAAATACACAGAAAATAAAAAATAAATGAAAATAATGGTGTTTAATTTCAATAGATGAAAATCGAAGTTTTTTTATTAGTTGTTTTTAAAATTATATATGTATATGGAAATGCATTTACGTGTATGCCAAGTGGTTTGATAATAACAGTGATGTATTTGCTACTTCAAATACTTATTTGAAAAGTTTGTATCATTTAAATATAATTAAAATAATACTATAATCAATAACCATATTATAAATACTGAAAAGTTTTAGTTATTCAAAAGCATTACAAATGCCACAATTCAACTGATGATGACGTATACAAATGTCATATAGAATGTTTTGTTCAGCCGAAATGTTTTTCAAAAAAGACAAAATTCTCAAAAAGCACTGAAAGAAATGACATTTGCTATTGCTTAATAACGGTTCAACCAAGCCAGTACCCTCCAAGGGTGTATGGTATAATCAAAGTGGCAATAAAACCGTTAAAAAATTAATATTAACTAACCCATTTAATAGAACCGCCAAAAATATTTACGTAAGTATTAATTCATTAGTTGATAAACCTCGTATTACTTGCTTCACGGGAATCTAAACAGAATTAAGATCGTAATGGTATACTATATACCTACTTAGATTTGATTTTAATGGAACTTGATCTTCGTTAAGATTTTTTTGTGAGCTCATGCACTATATGTATAAATAACGCCTACTATACTTACCAAAATAATATAAATTTCAAATATTATTTGTTTATCTGTCATATAACAAAGTTGTAAATAGTTTTGCTTGTCATCTCAGTACTTAGTAGCATTAATAATGTACTTATTATTGGCAACTTTTCTATTATTGCGAATAAATCTTATATACGCGCAAAAATATGCATATAATAGTACTTAATTGGCATTTACAAAAATGTTCTAATGACAAAATATGGAATATGGATCTGATTGCGTGGTCAATATCCCTCATGAGGCTATGGATTTTGAATGATGTAATAAACTGTAAAATCTTAAATTTTTAAATTTGTAGGATATAAATCAGATAATTGCTAGGATTTTAAAAAAAATGAATGCCAATAACAGTTGGTTGACATTAATATATCAACAGCAGATAAATATATTACATTCATATAAATGGTAAGAACAATGAGAAAGTACATGGTCATATATTTAAATCAAAAGATCATCGTTACTGTCAACCAGTGAAGCATATACATTACGAAATGTATATTTACATATTTATTTATATATACATATACATACACTCAAAGGAAAACTACAATGATAATGGAAATAAGAAGTTCATGTCAAGGGAAAATTGGAAATTTTCGGAGAACAAGAAAAAAATGATTCTTTGACTTGGAAGATATAAGATTTTAGAAAAACATTATTCTCTATTAAGATGAATTCATATATTTTCATAAAAACGGATAAGAATTGAAGTATTTAAAAAAAAGGTAGACATTTACGAGATTATCTTAAGGCATTAAAAATTTAACAAATCCATACTTTTACAACAGACTAACTACCATTTGCACAAGGCAGCATTCATTTAGTATGCATGAGTATGTATGTATGTGCATACATACATGTAGATATGTCCGGTTGCATATAAATAATGAGGTTTGATCCCAGCAGAAGTAGCACATGGCTACTCTAATTTCTTAATATACATACATATAAATTTATTGTGAATATGATTTCAAAATTGTAAAATATATAATAAGAACAACTTTTTTGTTGTATGAACATAATTAACAAATAAACTTGAGATAAACGTACGATAAATTTATTATTAAATTTGGGAAATATTTTTAATATCGATTAATTTTATATTAAGCGAAGAAAATTGATGCATGTAAGTAAGTACCAGAATATTCACTGAGTAACATTTTCATACACAATTTGGAAAAAAATATTATTCCTGTTGTAAAGAGATCTACAAATAGCGATGTAACGCATCTGCGGCTTGGATTTGGCAACCTTATTTCACTTTATGTTTGTCTAAAGTGAATTTTTATAAATAATGCGCGTTAACTTAGAAATTTGAACATTTTAAAAACTTTGGTGTCATATCCAAAAGGAAAAGGAAAATTAATTTAAATCAGAAAATAACCTAAATTTTCTAATTGCGGTCGCCCCTCGACGTGGAATATCAACCCCTTCGGGTGTATTTCTGACAAGAAAGAAAGCTCCTCATAAAAAAAGGTCAGGAGGAGCTCGACCAAAAATCGCTTCAGCGGTTACAAAGCGCCAATTATATATATGTATATTTGTATTGCATGACATCAAATATAGAATTTTTTGTTCAAAATAATATTATTTTCTGTAATTGAAATAATTATGATGATTAAAATATTTTCTTTCGGCAAAAAAACTATTCAGAAAGTTTTTTATTCAAATTTTTATTGGTTTCAAAAAAGCTTTTTGATTTTATAGTGGAATGTGTATGATCTTGCTGTTGTCTTAACATAGCTCTCTATAGACCTTGGGGTAAGGAAATACTTTGGTTTTCGTACTTCGGTTTCGGAAAAACTTGACAACTTTTGAATATTAATATGAAAGTAAATTTTCGTTAGTTCCAAACCCACGGTTTATAAGAAAACATGATATGCATTTACATATTTTTTTTCCTTTTGGCCACTCTATTTCTTTTCATAACAAACAGTCTTCGAAACCCTTGTTTTTTTTAGTGATTTCATCATATTATTGACACACATGTAAACTTGGCGAGTAAATTTGTCATTCGAATGTATCACAGCGCCATCTATTGATGTATACAAATTTCGTTAGTGATATAAATAAATATAAAAATATGTATACATATAGAAATATATATAAATGGGTAGTTGCATCATAACCGTTGAAGTGATTTTCGGCCGTGCTCCTCCTCCAGTTTGTTTTTCCAAGAAATGGAGGGACCTACATCTTATACTAAGCCACTTTCGAGGGCTGATGGTTTTTTATGAGGAGTTTTTATTCAAATATATTTTCTAAAACTTCAGATGATAATCGTACTAGGATTTGAACCCAGGCCTTCTAAATGGCAGTAACCAAAGCTAAAAACTCGGCTATGGCGGGCGAAAAAATATATTGTTCAATATACATAAGTAAGTACATATGTATATTTGTGTCCTATAAATCAAGAGCAGGAACACTGATAGAAATTATTGAACATTAAAGAAATCTTAAGGTTAAATGATTTGATGGAATTAACAAAAAATTCATAAATCGTACAAAAATATCTACTTATGTTCTTATATACACGTTTTGTAAAAGCGTCCAAACTTGCTACTTGCATTACCAAGTTATGTATTGTTTTCTGGTATTAAAATTCGTGTATCTCAGTTAACTAAAGGAGGAATTCTAAATTCTAGGTTGTAAGTATTTGATAGCCAGATATTGTCTTATGTAGACCATGGGAAACCATAAT